TAAAAGATTTTTTAAATTTATTAGAATATTTTTGAATTAGCTATTTAATATCGCATTTTATTTATTTATTTATTTTATGTTAAAAGGGTTTGCCAATTGGGTTTTTCAAAAATTACTAGAAAAAACTCCAATATTACATTGTTTTAATAAAGTTTTATTAAAAATTAAAATAACTTATTTTTAAACAAAAATTGAGCTTTAAGGGTAATAAAGATAAATGTATTAATTCTGTGTCAATTAATTTTTTGATATCATATAGTAACTATTTGACAGTATATGTCTATATAGCCAATTTTTCTAGTAATATAATTAATTGGATCTTTCATTAGAAAACAGTCACTTGAAGGATGGATTTAGGCCATTCACCTTTATACATCAATGAGAACATAATAAAGTCAAGAATGGAGATCAAGATAATTAGTGTTACCTATGAGTTTGGCATAAGAAATTGAAAAAATGGATGAGGATAACCAAATTAAGCCAACCAAATTACAAGTGGATGCCATCAGCTTATAAAGTCAATTTAAAAATAATTTAAAAATAAAGAATATCCTAACTAGAGTAAAGAGTTTTTGCTAATAAGGTTATACGTATTTGTTAAAAAATTTAAATATTTTCATTTTATATCTAAAAAAGAACATAACTTAATCGAGATAAAAAATCTAGATGGCATACCTATATGTTTCACCAAAGAAATTGCAGAAAATGGATAATGATAACCAAATCAGCTAGGCCAAGAGAATCAAACGTAGCAGCAAATCAATTCAATTGCAAGGCTAATGCTACTAGATGATAAAAATTGTAGTCAGCTAAGCAGAAGAGGAGAGAGGTTGTCCAAATAATAGCTGGAAATTTCCTGGAAGATGCCTAGAAAATGCCAATGAAATGAATCTGCAAAAAGATATCCAATGACGTTACAATAAGACAGGTGCAAAATCAGTTTATTATTATAAAGTAATCAATAATTGTGCGACTCCTTCCTATCATAACATATAAAAGAAAGACCTAGGTATGGAAGGGGAAAGACAAAATGATAACATATAATTATGTGATATGTTAAATTTTGATTAATTTATTTCAATTGAAATGTAAAAAAATTAATTTCATTTAACTTAAAAGTACGGGAAGAGATTTATTTTAAAATATATAAAAGTATATTTTGGTAATCCTAAAAAATAAATGGGTAAATATACTATTTTGATCTTTTACCTATTCTAAAATAAATTTCAATCATTTACCTTCTTTAAATAAATATTTTCCTCATTGTTCAATATTCCAAAAAATTTTATCTTTGAAAAAGATGATTTAGTTGTCAGGGATTTCTCCACCTACTTAATAAAAGCTCTGTAAAAATTAAGGACATTGGTAATTAGTCTTGCGAAATGTAAGATACAGTGCAGGATTTAACATCGTTTAAGGTGATAATTTTGGCTGGAAGACTAGTTGTGAAATATATTTGATAAGTCTCTAACAGAGGAATGATGTGGTATGATGTTATTATATGTTAAATTTTTAGTTAGTTGTCTTGCACCAAAATTATTTTTAGTTAGTTGTCATATCCATTTAATTAGCAGGGCAATTTACCTGTGTTTTGTGTAGAAGGTTGGATATGTCAACTATAATTAGAAGGTGAATTTGGATATTCTACCCTTATATATCAACCAGAACACATAAGATAATCAAGATTGAAAATAAAAATAAATAACATGCCTATGAGTTTAGTAGATGGAATTAAAGAAATGGATGTCCATAACCAAATTAAAAGTAGCAGAAAATCACAAGCCTAGTTATTTATAACTAGAGGGATGAAATGCATATTTCCTGGAAGACAATCATAATTTAGAAAGATCACGAGAAGATACTTGTATATTTACTAGAAGTACTAAAAAAAGAGAACTCATATTATTAATTAAGTAGCTACTAATTAATTAACTTGGTAGAAGCAGACAATTTGAAAAAGAAAAATTGAGAAAGAAAGACAATTTAAAAAGAATTTATCTAATTTGTATATTTAAAATACATCTTAAGTAAACATTAACTACATTTTTTAATTAATTTATATATAAAAATAAAATTTAATTTTAAATTTATCAACTACCCAATTAAAACCATTCAAGTGGTATTGATGTTAAAAATAATGTTTTACTTTTACATTTTTCTATAAAAATTTATTATAAAGGAATACATTTAATGCATTTTAACATGTACCCTAAAAACATAAGTTAGATAAATCTATTAGAAGAATCTAACAATTTGTGCTAAAACAATTTAAAATTGATGAGCTTCTAACTAGAATAAGGTTTCTTCGTCAATAAGGATATGCATCTACAAGAAAATTCAGATATTTTTCATTTTATATCTCAAAAAGAATATAACTGAAGTGAGATCAAAGATCTAAATGGTATACCTCCAGGTTTCACTGAAGAAATTACAAAAAATGGACCCTAACTAACATCCAACTCAAGCAAGCCAAGAAAATTAGAAACAGTAGCGAATCAATTCAATTGCAAGGCTAATTCTGTGAGATGATAAAAAGTGAGCCGCCTAAGAAGAAGAGGAGAGAGAACTTGTACAAATTATAGCTAAAAATTTCCTGGAAGATGCATTGGCAAATGCTAGTGAATTAATCTACAAAGATAATGAGAAAGTTGCATAGTTACTTTATCATAAAGTGATTAATAATAATCTCAATGGTTGGATCTAATAATAAGTAATGTCATTTTATAAATTAGATTTAAAGTTAACATCTTAAGATCAGCAT